ACTAAACCTACACATCTGAGCCCAAAAAGCATCTTTTTACATTGACACCAATTAAAAATAGCCATGTACTTTGATAAAAAAAATCTATTTTTTTTATGTTTCATTTGTCACTGATTTTTGGAGTGGCTTCTTAGTAAAAGTGTAAAACAAACGTTTCTATGTTTTTCCTGTCTGCTGCAAGGAGTCATACAGAGTGATCAGTCACATGATTGGCTCAAAAGATGAAGTAAAAATTGGAGCATTCTAGATATTTACCAGGCCATGTCTGCAACTGAGTTAAATAGGAATGCAAACAAACTGCCCTGTCGAAGTACATTAGACCTCTATGAGTGGAACTAATTGTTTATCAATGTTGAAAGTGCATTTGTAAGTGCTGTATGTAGACCTGTAAACAGTTTGAGTCTTATTATATGGAATTTCTGAAAAGAAAGAAATAAAGAAAGAACATTCAGATAATTTCAAGCATTGTTGGAAGGATCTCCTGAGCTTTATAAGGAAAAGCAATACATGACTTCATGAAGTGCATTATTTTCATATAGGCCTTTTGAGTGTATTCGAGTCCAGGGAACACATTAATTGGCCCTCTTGGATCTCTTGGCCTGCATTGTTTTGTTGTTTCGGTATCTGTTTGCAGCAATATTATTGCCATAACTGTTCCATATGACTGTATGACATTTCTAAGAGATAAAATTGTAATGTAAAAACAAAAGTATGAAAATACAATTATATTTAATTTAATTTAAAAAAAAATAGCAACTACACTGTGTAACATCGACAGACCTGAAAATATGTGCCTGGTTCAAATAATTCAAACATTCTAAAAACAATTCAAAATGTTCAGCATGACAGTCATAAAGGGTGAGGCATAAAATATATTTAAAAAGTACATTAGATTGTACATTATTTAATAATTAGTGGTGATGTTTTCAATAATTGTCAAACCTCTAATCATCAGACACAATTTCTCAAACAAAACATACGCCTTTTTATTTCAGATAATTATTTTGACAAAATCTATATAAAAAATATACAACATTATACAATTTTATAACCCTTTTGTTATGTAATAACATTGTGGAATGTATTATCTTTCATTGACTAATATTCAACTATGAGGTGAGTGGATTCTCTCATTCTTCTGTGTCCTCTAGCGGCAGTGGTTTGCTATTACAAGTTCACTGTTCACTGGGTTCACTGTTTTTTCTTGCCTGTTAATATGAATTTCATGAGCTTTATGACTTTATTTGTTGTGTTTTTGCTTTTGTAGTCATTAACTTGTACTGACACTACAATAACATCATGTTGAGTGGTTGGTACAGTTACATAATTCATGGACAACTTCATGTCTTCAGAATTTAGCAGAAACCAACATATGCTTTTCTATATGCCATGCCTATCATGCTTGTTGTCACTACTACAGGCCTGCAACTTTAAGAAACAGGTAATGGCCACTTTGTAACCTGATCAAGGCTTGAATAAATGATGGAGCAGTATCTGAGTTCACTGGTTGTGGCTGTTTGCATTTCCAAGGACACAAACCAGCTGAACCAAGATAATCGAACTGAAACACGTTTACACAGCATCCTGCTATCAATAACCCTAAGGATGAATCCTGAGTAGTAAGTAGTTTTGGCTCTAAAGATTGTTTGTCTACATTATTGTGGTGCTAGATTTTTGTTTACAATACATTGTGTTATTAACGGTCGACACATTTTCTTCAAAATTACAGTGAATAGAGGAGGCATCTAATTTGTGCCGTTAATATTAGTATTACCAATTTTGCCCAAAAATAAAAAGGAAATAAGATGCAGCTTAATTTGAGCATGGACACCAGTTCAGTAACATAAAATGTTAATAATATTATAATGTTTTTCTCAGTGACTACCTGTTCAAGTTGCTGCTGATTGGGGACTCTGGTGTGGGAAAGTCATGTTTACTTCTACGGTTTGCTGTAAGCTAAATATTTTACCCATCATTTTCTGTTTAAATGTACTTCAGTGAATCATTTAAAGTAGTTGACCCCAAAAAATATAAACTTTCTATTATTTCCTCATTATCATGATGTTTCAAATCTATGTGCTGGTGGTTGTTGTGTTTTTTGTTGTTTTTTTAATCAATTTTTATGATATTTTTATCAATGATAATTCTGTTGTTGACACACAATTATTCCAACAGGATGACACTTATACAGAGAGCTACATCAGCACTATTGGAGTAGATTTTAAAATCAGAACTATCGAAATGGAGGGGAAGACTGTTAAACTGCAGATTGTGAGTATAGATATTACAGACATTTTTATACATTCATATTCAGACTTAACTAGTTGGTTTGTGTCTGGCTGTGTCTGAGTTGCTTTTTTGTTTTATTTAATTATTACATCTGTTTTAAACAAACACTTGTTGAACAAAACATTTAAAATCTAATTATTTTTATAAAGTGACAAAAACTGATACCTTGCTGATTAACTTACTAACCATTCACTTAAGAGTTGGCCCGAAATACTTGGATGAAGAATGATATACTCACATCTTCTTAATCTTTTTTGCTAACAACATTGTCAGGGTGAAGGGATGAAGCAAGGAATCGTTGTGCAGAGTACAGTAGATGGGGTTTTTATTAATAAAAGAAAAAAAGAAGAAAAAAAAAAACAAAAAACTACCCCGTAGGGGAAAACAGGCAGGCAGGCAGGCCAGGGCACAGCAAGGCAAGGCAGGATCAGGGAGGGTGGGACAAGACGGGAACCAACAAGGGAGCATTAGACAATGAACTGGCACCGGACTGCAAACACAAGGAGAAATAAATAGGGAGCAAACAAGGCAGGTAGCAAGAGAGGACAGGTGGGGCAAATGAACAAATAATCAGATAACAAGAATGGCAGGGTCAAGGCAATAGATATGACAGCACATGGCACACAGAAACAAACAAAACACAAGCCATGTGCTCACACAAAACAAAAACACAACAAGACAGAACATGGAGCGCGAGTGTCTGAACTCCGACACAAAACCAAAACTGAACAAGACATGAGTCCCGGCATCCGAATACCACGCTCCAATGTGAAACAAGAAAACAGGGCACGCAGACCAGAGAGCAAACGGCTCGAGCAAACTCGCAGCTGTGCGCTCCATGAAAACAAGACATGACAGGAGTTTTTGTAAAATGTTTCATGTGTTTCTCTGTCCTGAAGTGGGATACAGCAGGGCAAGAACGATTTCGAACAATAACATCCAGTTATTATCGAGGGGCACATGGGATTATAATTGTATATGATGTCACCGAGCAGGTAATACTTTTAAATATTACAGAATGTTATAACATTTTGAGTACAGAGAATGTTTAACAAAGTACTTTGATTTTACAGGAGTCTTTCAACAATGTGAAGCAATGGTTAGAAGAAATTGATCGCTACGCATGTGAAAATGTCTCCAAGTTGCTAGTGGGTAATAAGAGTGATCTTGCCTCAAAAAAGGTGGTAGACTTTACCACAGCAAAGGTAAGCCCTCTGCTTATGCAAACTTGTTGTAAAGTCTGTTCTACAGGAAAGGCAGATCTAAGCTAATATTTTAACTTTCATTTGTACTGTTTTCAGGAATTTGCTGAGTCACTCAAAACCCAATTTCTGGAGACAAGTGCCAAGAACGCAAACAACGTAGAGAAGGCATTTTTAACAATGGCCTCTGAAATCCAGAAGAGGATCGGGACAGACAGCGTTCAGAGTGAAACTGTTCAAATGGGATCCAAAATAAACAGTGCCCCACTATGGCCTGGTGGAGAGAAGTCAGTAGCTGAGGAGGTCAGCTCTTGTTGTTAGTGTTCGGTATCTTTTAAATTCAGGATAATATAAATCAACATTTTTGTTTATCATTTTATGTGTTTCTCTTTTTCCTTCTTTTTCATTCTAAATGTAAAATAAACCATTGACTCTATGTTTTACATGTTCTAATGAACTAATGAAGATGGTACATGCCTTTGAAAATGTTTCTGTAAATCATTTTCTGATCAAGCATCCATTATTCTATGTTAAGTGCTCTTTTCTCTTTTTGTTGATGGACAAAACCAATAAGCACACACAACCATTCAAAAGTTAGAAGTTGCTAAAAAATGTTTAATGTTTTTAAAAGAAGTCGCATTTACACTGCATTTATTTGATCAAAAATATAGTAAAAACAGTAATATTGTGAAATATTATTACAATTTCAGCAGCCATTACTCCAGTATTCATTGTCACATGATCCTTCAGAAATCATTCTAATATGCTGATTTGCTGCTTTAGAACCATTTATGACTATTATCAATGTTGAAAACAGTTGTGTTGCTTAATATTTTGTGGAAACCATGATATTTTTTTTCAGGATACATTGAATACATTTTAACTTTTGCACGGTATAGTATATATATTTCTGATACTATATGCCCTATTTTTAAAAGAAACAATTCTATGAAATCTAAGAGAAGATCAGCTTAAATATATTTACTTTTCAATTTCTCAAAAAATAAAAATGCATATACATTAAAATGTAAACGTTTTTTGAGTATCAAGCAATCTCTCACTGTGCAGTGCATATACAGAAGCATTTGCACTGCATATGAATCTAAATAAACACTCAGATCAAACTAATGTGCAAGTATTACATGCGCAGATAAAGCACTGGCCCAAGAGTTGTTGTGCATGACACTACATCATATGTGTCAAAAAGAAAATAAACTATAAATAATGGTCATTATCTCATAGATCTCATTAGTGAAATAATAGTCAAATAATTAAGGAGCTGTAATATACATTTATAATTTGATGGTCATATCCCGACACAGCTGAATATATAATATTCATTTTTATGGCAATTCAAAATTTTTGAAAGGTGCATATCTTGATTTACAATCAAAGCTCTAAAAGGGTGAAACTTTTTAGCTCAAGCATTGCAAGCATTTGAATCAAACACAAAATGGCGTTGAACGTTACAACATGACAAAACATGAAAATAAAAACCATCAATACACATTACAACCAGGACTTTTTGCCAGTAAATCTAGCCATGTTGGCCAGTTTCAGCCTCATATGTTCCCTCTCCTCTGGGTTCCTCTTTGAGGTGCACTCAAGAGTAGAGTCAGTCTCGAAGGAGATGGCTGGGCCGTGTGAAAGCAAAGCCGTCCCCGTCTTTTCCTCAGACAGGGTGGTTGTGGGGGACTGCAGGATCAGCCTGCTCCGCATTGAGTGTCTGAGGCGTAGCAGCAAAGGGTTGCGTTGAGAGTACAGTTCCCTCTCTGGCCTGAAGCACAGGAAGCAGGCAGCACACAGCAAGCGGAAAATGTAGATCCAACCAAGGTAGTGAAGCTCCACAATGTTCAAGAGAAAACAACCCAGGCTGATGCTAAACATAAAATTAAGGAAAATGGTCTTTTCAGTGGCTCGTGACACAAAACAGTCAGTCCGTGTCGGACAAGGGTACGTTTCGCATCTGAACAAATGAGGCACCTCAAATCCAAACAAGTAGTACTGACCGACAAGGAACATGATCTCTAGGATGGAGCGGATCAGGACGTGAACAATATAGATGAGGAGAACCTGATTGGAGAGTATGGTTGGATCCTTGCCAACCTCACCGAAATCATCCTGCAGGAGATTTTGCTCCACGCTTTCCTCATCCTGACCACCCCATTCTTCTCCCTGGGGTCCATAGCCCATTCTGACACCATCCCCTTCCAGCTGCCCAGAATAGTCTCCCACGGGGTGCTTGGCCTGGACCCTCTCTGTCTCCAGCCTCTCATCTTTGGTGATTTTGTGCAGCACATAGATGATGTAGAAGATGGAAGGTGTTGAGACCAGCACAATCTGGAAGACCCAGAAGCGCAAGTGGGAGACGGGGGCAAAAGTGTCGTAGCAGACATTGTTGCAGCCAGGCTGCAGCGTATTGCAAGTGAACTTGGACTGCTCATCGCTGTACACAGCATCTCCAACCAGGGTCACCAGCAGGATGCGAACGATCAGGAGCACCGTCAGCCAGATCTTACCGATGACCGTCGAATGATTCTGAACCTCTGTTAGAAAGCGGCCCAGAATTGACCAGTCCCCCATTTTTTAATCTGGAGAAAACAAGGAAATAGTGGAAAGGCAAAGATATTTTGTTATGTTGTCATCTAATATATTGCATACATTTTTTTTTTTTTTTTTAAGAATATTTTATCCAAAATTGAAAATTTGCTGAAGATGTACTCACTCTCAGGCCATCCAAGAGGAGAAATTTAACATCACTACATCACCATTACATCACTTGCTCACCAATGGCTCCTCTGCAGTGAATGGGTGCCATCAGAATGAAAGTTCAAATGGCTGATAAAACCATCACAATAATCTACAACACGACTCCAGTCCATCAATTAATATCTTGTGAAGCTGCGTGTTTGTAAGAAACAAATCCATCATTAAGGCATTTTAACTTTCAGCTGTAATTACACCAAATCTGTTCTGATGAAGAAAGTCATCTACATCTTGGATGTCCTGAGGGTGAGTAATTTTTCAGCAAAATTTCATGTGAATTATTCCTTTAAGAGAGTTAAATAATCTACTGTTTAGACAAATTAAAAACAATATTTTAAAAAATTTCAATTTGTGATACCAATATGTTGATTTATGTGCATTTCAGTTCTTCATCATGCATTTTCATGTTTTAAATGTATTTAAGGTTCATAATTGCTTGATTACTTGTGTAATCTACATAGAGGTGAATTTAAGTAAACTGGGACACTTTTTTTGCCATTGAGGTGACTGGGGAAAATGGCCCAATTATCCTGAATTATATCCTCTTTACAGTCATTTAATTTGGTAGGACAATAAAATGGCTCACTCTTTCAAAATTAATATAATAAAATAGACAAAGAAAAAACACTTACCTCTGGATAATTTGTCTACAAAAATGACAAAATGTGCAAAAAAAAACACAATTTGCATTGCTACATTTGAAAAAAGGTCTGTTTGTCACCAGGAAAAGTCCTCAATGAGTGAGCCGGGGGAAATGGGCTGACCACAGGCATCTATCCACACCCTCATTGTACTGTATTCAGACAAAGAGTCCCAATGTACAATGTCACAAAGATTTAAAAATACAATGGGATGCACCATCTCTGAATGTCCCTGAACAGTCAAACAAATTGTTCAAAAGAACCTGCTGGAATGGGGAAACAATGCTAATTCATGAGAGATTCATTTTGTCCTATACCTGCTCTGGGAGTGTGAAATCTAATGAAATTGTTTTCTACATGATAAATAGTTAAACACATACACCACAATATGGAAATAAACAGCATTTAATCTGACCCATTACACTCATCTTTTTCTTATTGCTTTATGTTCAAGTAACTCATGCTTCCTAATGTTGAAATGTATTATAAACACACAACACAATATGTCACCCTTTGGGTCAAAAAAGGCAAAACCAACAGCCTTTTAAAATAATAATAACTCGATTTGATCATGAAGATCTTATTTAGAGCTTTTGAGAAAATGTAAACTCGGTGAACTCTTTTGAATTAAGGATATAGATATGCATTACAATACAGTTTTCAAGTGCAATACAGCAATTCAAAATCATGGTAAGAAAACAGCTGCCAAGTTGATAACTTTAGTTGCATCTGCTGTGCTAGAGGATGACATTTTTTATGTGAAATTAAGCAAAATAAAAACTGCAAGCAAAAAAAAAAGACAGACAGATGCATTTTACAGTTAACATTTTGCACATCGTCAGTGATTTCACTACCTCACCATCTGCCCCCAACACACAATATCCGGAGACAAACATAATTTTCACCGCCTCAACATCTGTCTTGGTTACTCCATACATAATCTTAATATTTTGCATTTGTTCCTCTCACTTCATGCACACCAAAACTGGATGTCTGTTTACTTTATTATTTGTTGTACTTGTGTATTTCTATGTTTGTATTATAATATACTTAATGCAATACCTTTAACTTAATTCAAGATTGCAGACAGCTAGGTAAGTAAATAATAAATAAATAAATAAATATGCATATTGACGTTTTTAAAATTAATGCGTAATGTTTTTACATTTTCCAATAATTTTACTTTAAGTCAGTTGTTTATATAGCACCTAAAATATGCATATTCATTTAAGAATTATATGGTTATTTATTTCGACGTCGTTGAAATTCAGTTTCGTTTTGTCGCGTTAAAAGTCGTTTAATGATATAATACATACATGTTTGATTAAAAATAAAAAAATTATCGTTGCTCTAAAGTGTGTTTGTGAGTGCAGTGCAGTGATGTGATGGAGTGAGCTGGCAGAATCTCAGCAGCAGCAGCGCGTATGTCAGATGAAATGGTTTGGCCCTCGGGGTTACAGGAAGTTGTAGCAGCTGCCATGTTTTGCTGCTTTGTTGTAGATTTCTTGTAGGTTTCCTGCAGATTTTTTTAAGTGTTGCAATGGAGCCGAGCTGGAGTTCATATTTATTTCAGGTAAGCCAGCCGTTCGAAATGAATCCCAATTGCGCGGGAAAAATAGAAAATTGATCGGGACTCTTAAAAACAGCGCGAGGCGCGGATATTTGAGCTTTAAAAGCGGGATTTTAAGGCAGTAAAAACAATGGTAGCTAAGCTAGCTCACATTAGCCGCTAATGCTGCATCTCTCCCCAGACTTCCAGCTGTGAACTATGAGGGAGACGTACAAGGGATTTCTTTCCCTCTTTCCCCCTTCTCCTTCTCATTCACACTCTTTTTACGTGCTTTTTGCCTTTTTTTATCTTAAGTTAAACACTTTTAGCTGACAGCTTATTCCTTAGTTTTGTAAACTCATTGATTTTGTTCTGACACAATTTGGATGTTTTGACCAGACGCAACGTCCATGTCTGCGTGTGTAATAATAGAATACGGTGTTTATATGCATTTTTGGCACATTTTTTTTAATACTTCAAAAAGGCAGTTTTTGAACCCTCAATCGATCTCCATGGTTCTCCTTAATTCCTTGTATTTATTTGTATTCGCTGTTAACGCAGCTCCTTTGGCTACTTTTATTGGAGGGAACATAGGGAGAATGGCTGTGTTTCAAGATTTTCTCAGCTGCCTAACGTTACCTAGACATCATAATCGAATAGAATGTGCATATGATGACAAAAATACTGTATATGTTCTTTTCGGAATTTCGAACACTACTATGATACCCCAAAATTCACTATTATGGTGCCCTAAAATCTCACAGTCGTTATGAACAGTCGTTGTTTGATTAAGTTTGAAAACACTTTTTAAATGTTGACTTATTTTCTCTCTCCAACCTTAAAAAGGTGTTCTTTTTGAAATTGAACTGCGTTGTATAGCCAGCCCATGCTCATGCTGCTGACATCCATAAGCTTATGAATGTAATGATTGATGTTGTTAAAGCATGCATTGCATTGGTATGTAAGTGAGGTGCAAAAGCTTTTTCTCTGATGCATGAGGAATCTGCATGTTTACGCTGAAATAGGAATGTTTAGGTTATGGCTGTTATTGACAGCATGCAACTCTTTTTACCATTTATCTGATATGACCTTATACTTTTAACTTAACATAAAAGTAACAAATATTGTTCATTCTTATGGCGAATTCCTGTGATCTTCCTCATTTTGTAAGTTGTTTGCTGAAGAAATCAATGTGATTTCGTAGAGATCAACCACTTATTTTTTACATATTGATATGATATTGATAATGATTGTTTTTGTTTATGTGTTTGATAATTGATATGTGGGATACGTTTTTATACATTTCTGTATTTCTGGTTTTTGACAAATTATCAGACTACAAGTTATTGTTTATGCAAAGTTGTTTTGCAGTCTTATTTCTCACTTAGAGTCAATACATTAAATAAGTTAGGCTACTTTACCTGTGAAAACTGTTGTTTCCTGTTGAATGCATTGGAATTACTAGGTGCTATTCTTTAGAGATCCACTGAATGATGCAATTTATCAGTGGAACCAATGGTAACATTCCTGCATTTGGCAGATGCTTTTATCCAAAGCTACTTTGCACATTTTTTTCAGTTCTTGCTTTCCATGGGAATTGAATCCATGACCATTGTGTTGCTAGCACTATACTCTACTGTTTTAGCTACAGGAAAGCTAAAGAATAAGAAGAAAAGTATAAATATTGGTTAAATATGTATGCATGTATGTATATTAAGTTCAGCTTGGTCCAATTATTAGGAGTATAAGAAAGTTCTCATATAGTGACTCAAAGCTTTTTCTATTAACTTTTCCCTTGGGAGAGAAAACATTTCAAGCGCTCTACGGCACTAGGCCTTGTTCCAGAAAAGTTTCCCAATCCCAAAATGCATTTACTTGAAAATAGAAGAAGACAATGTCCAAAAATGTTGTTGTGAGTTAACGTTAGAAAGGCTTATATCTTCTTCAGTGTGTGCTTCATCATCATCAACATCCTCTTAACAATTATTTTAATTTGACATGTACTGAAACAATTTTGAAATCAGCTCCAACATAAGATTTAGCATTTTTAGTTAGCATAGATTCATTGTTAGACACTATCTGAAACTTCCTTGACCACATTATGCATGTTTGTCTACAGAAGGATCCTCAGAAGTTTCTGTACGCTGCTTACATCCTCCAACATCTTGCATTCACCAATTATAATCCATATTTGATTTTCTGTAAGCTTTACCACATATGCTGATCCGGATATTGTCAGTAACGGATCAGAATTCACTAACCATTTGAGAGATAAACACAATGTTTCTTAAAATATTCCTCAAAGTTCTTCCAAAATGCCTTATAATAACTCCCTAATATCGTTGTATTTATGAATTCTTTACACCTTAATAAACTTTGATCAGTTTTAAAAGCACAAGATCAGTGATTTAGTTTTACAGACCTATTAAAACTGGTGTTAAAATTGCTTAATTTGTTCTGCTTGATTCCACCCATGTGATAAAGCATCTAATGAGACGACGGTCTAGCGCGTCACTCATTGTTCTGCAGGCGTCAGAGGTTATTCATGAGCAAGGCATTGTCCGGCTCCCAACAGTCATCTCCTAATCCGTCTGCAGCAAACAAGAATCTGATTCACTGGCTTTTGT